TGTATGTGTGATATACGACCTGCCACAAAGTGCCGTATAATAAATAAACGGATTTTTTTTCTACTCGGTCCCGTTTTCTGAACGGGTATAACGTTTAAGTTATTTCGACGCGAACTGTGCTTTTCCCGAGCGGAAAAAGCGCACATCCGATTGTACGACGATCTATCCCTTCGGAGGAGCAATGATGTTCGTGAAGTTGGCCCACCCAAATATTGCAATTTTTTATAAATCTGTGCCATTATTTTGCAAGTTTTAGAATTAGCAAAACCAAACTTTCACCGTGAAACCAAAAAAATTAAAAATTGGGCCAACCTTACGTAGTCCAGCCTTTTTGACTTAAAACTTTGAAATTAGTACCAAACGAAAAATATTGATTGATGAGAATTCACAAAACTATTATTAAAATTTGCAAGTCATTCAATTGGCCGTTATAAGCTTTTGAACTTATGAAGTTAGCCCATCAGTTTTAACCTAGAACTTTAAAATGAGTACCAAACGAAAGCTATTGATCAGCAAGAATTTTCAATTTTATTTTTAGAATTTGCAAGTCATTAAGTTGGCCACTATAATCTTTTGAACTTGTTCGAATGAAGTTGGCTCACCCGTTTTAAACTAGAACTTTAAAATCAAGTACTAAACGAAAGCTATTGACTAGTCAGAATTTTCAAGTATTTTAGTTGGCTATTAACTTTTGAAGTTGTGCAGTTTGCATGATATTTTTACCTGAAACTGTAAAGTGGGAATCTGTGAAAGCTAATGATTATAGCAAGTATTTGCCGGCCACTTCCCTTTAATATTTAACAACAGCTACAACAAAAGAACCTAGTAAAAAGAAAAAAAAATCTTAACTTATAACTGTTTCTTTATATTTCAATTATGATACATTATATTAGTATTATATGTTAGGTACCTTTTTTTTTTAATCATTTATATTCATAAAAAAGAACTGAATAACTGTATCATTTAATTAATACATACTTCAATATCAAATGACAATCTATTATTTAAGCTTCAGCATCAATTTGTCAATTTTATTGTTAACGGAATTCTTTTTTATATATAAAAATACTAAACTGATCAATCGTTCTTGGCGCATTATGACTTAAGTATGTTTTAAATCATCGTAAAGCTGAGAAATGTTATTATATGTAATATTTTTGGGAATGGTTAAACAAATCATCAATATATTTGAATAACATGAGAATTCTTTCTGAAAATCTTGAGATTTTTTTATAATTTAATTACAATCAAGATTTATAAATATTCTATTTATAATTTTAATCTCACTTGATAAATCATCTGATTTGACTTTGTATGTATTAAAATTTTCTTCTATTGACTGATATATACGAGTAGGACTGTCATTAAATAAGACATTATATATAGAATTCAACAAACTAAAATACATTTTTTTGACTTTACTGTTCATTCACATTATTATTGTATCCATAGGAATAAATACATTTATAAGAAAATGTTCTTGAAGTTTGTACTGCTTGTTTTTACCACCACCTCATTTAAACGAAACTGATTTTATTTGTAGTAATTTAGGATCACTAAAACCATTTTTTTCTGAAACAACAGCAATCTTACTTTTTTAAAATTATTATCTGTTTTTAATTCTCCAAAACTTCTAGTAGTATATTTAACTGTTTGACTTGCTAATTTTTGCTTATCATTAGCTTTCGTTGATAAGCAATTCACCATTTCAGATCAGACATCACGCCAACTACCAATTTCAGAAGTTAATGGCCAACTGAATGATATGTAAATTCATTTTAAGAATTTGCAAAATCTTGCTAATCATTTCGTTTAGTTCTTATTCCGAAGTTCTAGGTTAAAACAACTGAATTGTGTGAAGTTGATCCAACTTTTAAATTTTTGGTTTCACGGTGAAAATTTGGACTTACAAATTCTATAAATTGACTTGAAAATACTTGCAAACAACTTGAAAAATAATGGCAAAGATTTATAAAAAAATTGCAATATTTTGGGGAGGCCAAACTTTCAAACGTGTAGCAATGACGATTTAATCAAAAGTGTAGTCTGCGCGTGCACAATCAATTATGCCACACTCGCGTTACTGCAGCTCGATTATTAGATATATAATATAACAAAAGGTGCTATGTCCCCTCCAATGTGTGTGAAATTATCACGGAAGTGGCGCAAAGTGTGATTACTGACTACGGGATCGGATTTCACGCCCGAAATAGTATAATATAAAAATATAATGCGTATGATGCCGACACGTAGCTCCATAACTGTCACGAGTAATTTTTCGCAAGACGTGCGGGATGAAAAAGGAAAACACGGGCTAGCTGAAGCCTAATGCGTCAGTTGATGACAGGACGACGTCCGCACACGTGTAATAGATATTCATTGCTTTGCTGGAAACCATTAGCGGAGTAAAATCCTTCCATTTCCCCTTCCCCCATTCAGAAAGCACGACGATGATACGACGATTAGGCATGATTCTCAAAATACAACCTTTGCCGCCCATTTTCAAAATATTTAATACTAAAATTAAATTAATTTATAAAATTTCTATCGTTATCGTCGAAGATATCAGCAGTTGAAATTAATAGTTTGAAGTTAGAATATACTATTCTGAATAGACATAGTCAGTAATATGTCATTGGTTATTTTTAAAAACGAATTATGTAAGGCATATTTTTGTTTACATTGTTGATAAATATTTCTGTTTTCATCTTTATTATTTATAATTGATTTGTGTACTGTCTTTATTCTATATTGCCTAACAACATTAAACAAGTACTGTCAAAAAATAATTGTCCATTTATCTACATACATGACTGAATTACATTAATTGATCTAAAGTTATTATTCCATATATTTAAATAGCAAACCTTAATTATTCTCGTTAATATAACTCAAAAAACTTACAAAAACCTAAACTCGAAAGTAAGAACTTTAGAAAACCTAAAACTTGGTTTTAAACATTTTGCCGAAACCCAAGAAAATATAAAACTCGATTTTCATCAATAAACTGAAACTCGAAAATACATAAATTCCTGTGTTTTGACTCCCTTGTTTTCTGTTTCAGGTGTAAAAAACCAGGCAGGTATTTGGATAACCTACCTCAGACGTCCGTTGTCGTGTGTTTTCACAACGAAGCGTGGTCCGTGTTGTTGCGAACCGTCCATTCTATCCTGGACCGGTCGCCGGAACATCTCATCCGGGAAATTATTCTAGTTGATGATTTTTCCGACATGCGTGAGTATCTTTATTCGAAATAGTAAATCAATAATAAATGTGATGAGTGTTGGTATATTGTCGAATCATCTAGGATTTTTATGATAACATAATTATACTATTGTTATAAAAATGACGATGGCGAATATTTGAAAAAAAAAAATAATAAACGGACGAGTCAATATTTTTGTATAACATACGTACATCACTACCGTCATACCGATTATTTAGACATAGTATAAATAATTCAGCTGATTGTTGGGCGAATTTTTCCGAGTAAAAAATTAACTGATTCCGTTGTTTATGTGTGCAAAAGAGTTTATAACTATACTATCTCGTTGATCATAATGTTTCTATAAAGTTTATAGAAATCCTGCGCCTCAGAAACAGAATATTAATATTTCGAATACCATACAAAGGCCCTAACTTGCCTTTTTATTTAAAAAAAAAAAAAAAACAAATTATGTATATAAATCATAATGATTAAAAAATACAACGTTTTAAAGTTTTTGCATAGTTTAGTGACAATAATTCTACGGTGTAGTATTTATAATTTATTGCAATCGTTAAAATGTGGAAGTAAAGATATAGTTTTAATTTAATATTAACATTCAATTTATTACCATTTTTTTCTACGTCGTTAAATTAAATTTAATATTTATGTCTAATAAAAATATCTGTACTATCAGAAAAAGATTTAAAGCAACTATAAGTACTTATATATATATATATATATAGCCATTAAACTTCATATATTTTAGTATTATAATGTTTTTATGTTTTAAACATTATTAAAATAGCTTAAATTCTTCGTATTATTTTTTTTTTTTTTTGCGTTTAGTTGAAAATAGTTTATGCGTTATTTTATTATAAAAAAAAAATTAGTTCTAATTATAATTTATTCTATATATTACTTAATTTTTTTTTACATTAAATACTCAGAATGCAAAAAATACCATTGGCGTATTGGGAATTATGTTACTTCAACTATTATGTTTTATTATGACGGAGAGAAATTTAATTTTGTCTTTTGATTAATTGCATTATATTTTATATGGATTTTTTAACGCTTCAAAGTCCCTAACAGTACACGGCCAACTGTGTAAACGTATTACGGCCAATTTCATTTTTAATTAGTCTCCTACAAAAGTGTGTATTAAAATATATTTTGTTGGAACTAGGTTTTTCAATTTTTTTTTTTTTTTATTATTCCTTTCAGTACCGTCGGATAGTCGACGCGTGACTACTACTATTCTCTTTCAACTATTTATTTAGGGTCTCTTCGGGTTATACTACGTATAGCCAGTAATCTCGGTGAGAATGTATGTATTCGAACATGTTGAAAACCGTTAAATAGGTCGGGCATGCGTGTCTTGAGGGCTAGTATATTAATGATTATTATAATATTATATTATAATAATGATAACTTCGATGATTTATCAATGTAAACAGCAGCGCATAAGACGGCGTCTCGGGTAGGCAATTGTGATACACTAGCGATACGCCACACAAATACGCAATAAAATATACACGTGGTTGCTGCGACAACAACATTATAATGTATATACGCGTCATGTATGCATAATTATAGTGAACAATCGTGTTCAGCGAGTGGATAAATGATGGTAGTAAACAATAATGATGACGTGTAGAGCGCAAAATCGTAAATTGCATTTACTTATGCTCCAATGTAATATTCCGCCTCCAAAAACGAACGAAATGCAATTTTTTAAATGCATACAAAGTAAAATGAATACCTGTATTGATTGTAATCAACCCATCGCCCTTGTTTTTATTTATTTTGAATACTTAATCGTATTTCGGCGTATACGGGTAGAGCCGATGGCCATTTTCCGCACGGTAGTGTCATCGCAGTCGACGATTAATTTTTTGATCGTTCGGCTCATCTAACAAGTCGTCACATACGCTTGGCATTTAATCCCCAAAGGAGCAACGTATTTGGAGGGGTCTTAATAACGACTGGTTCGACACGAGATTTCCTGCATATGAAATGCAGAACAGTTCAGCATTCGATCGTTTCATTTCACTCACATTTCAAATCGATAATTAACCTTTGTACGTGTTAATACGTATTTGCCAAACACAAGATAAAACAACTACGAAAATTGGAAGAACCCCGTTAACGTGCCATCGAAACTATACAAGACGAAAAAAATGTATCATTTGGTACTATTTAATACCTATTTAATACAGAACAGTTTGTTTATAAAGCACCATTAATTTTTTACATTACATTTTTAAAATTGACAAAATTAACTGCAGACGGTTAGATAATAGAGATCTGCACTTAATAATTTGTTTTTATTTCGAATGTTGTACCATATTTATATATTGTATTTGTATAACAGGTCCGAAATGATATTAGATTATCGTTCAAAAAATAAAAATATCGCAGGTACGTGTATTTGTTCAACTTTTCCGATTGCTTAAAAACAATTTACGAAACTTTCAATAGTTATACATACATTTATTGAAAAAAATGAAGTTACTAAAAACTATTCATTTTAACGGGGGTACGTAGTACGTACAGTTGAATCTCTATTTAGCAAACCTGATTGTTCTTAGAAAAAAAATAGAATTATATTTTATATGGAAAATCGATTTTTTTTTGTACTCTAATTTACACAAATATCAAATAAGTATGTTACTAAATCTGTAATAATATACAAGTATTTATTTATACTAATATTGTATAATTATAAATTATAAATAATATACATTATATTATATTTTTTTTATTTTATACCTACGAGTATTATTACTAATATTACGTTACCATACACATCTAATCCTTGTAAACAATAAGAACAATAATATAAAATTTATTTATTTAATAGAAACATAGAAACCTTTTATAATGAAAACACAAAGGTTCCATAAAAATATTCTTTATTTAGAGATTATAGTTAAATAGAGAGTGGACCCTATACCCGGTGTTGGCGAAACAAAGTAAAATAAAGTTTATTTCGAATTCTTGTTACTGTTGTCATTGTATTTCTCGCCTTCCCGCCAACTGAGTTCAGCCTTATTTCCTCTTTCTTTCTTGTGTTCATTGCTATTACTGCTATTTTCACACTATCTACCTCTTAGAGTCTAAGATTGCCAGTGGATAATTTCCTCCACCCGAGTAAATTAAGTATATTTCTTATGCTTAAATGACATAAACATTTCTCTTCTCATGAACGTCTTCTCAAAATCATAAATGCGGTGTACACTTATAGATATATATTTATGTACATAAAGACCCAAAGATAGGGTTATTGTTTTTATAGTCAAGATATACCACCCCAAGATGTGAGTGGCACGCTATCGATTTATCGTTATTTATGCGTATACACCGGTTTCGTGAAAGCAATGATCCTCGCACACCGACCTTCTATAAATTTGGCCTTTTGATTTTCGCTTGCTGATCTCGGACGAACGGACACGTTGCTTCTGGTCATTTAAAAGCTTTCGACCCAATTAATCCCTGACTGCCACCGGATACGTCTTATTCGTGGGTGAATTTTCGAGAGAATCGTAGAGAGCGAGAGAAATATGTAGACGGAGAGAAAGAGGAAACGCCAAACATAAATCTGACCTTTAGACAAACTTAATGGGCGGTAACGCGTTCCGGAGTATGAGCGAACGAACTAGAACCGGTGGTCGCGGCGGGGAAGTAACCTGGTAGGACGAAGCAATATATAAGTATATATATACACAAGGATTTCGTCGCATGAGCATATAGCTGTGGCACCGCGAAGGAAAGGGCTACCGGCTGGTGGGAGACGTGGGTAAGGTAGGTAATTCGATTGCCTAGTTCTACTGCTGCTGCAACAAATCACTCCTGCGTTCACCTTCTTTACGACGCAGTCCAATTTGTCATGCCGCATGACCGATTCGATATAACGTTTGCGATTAGAATATCAATCTCCGGTGATGTGGTCCGCCGACAATCTCTTTAGTGGCCAAATCGACCGTGTCGATATGTATTTGTATATATATATACTTATCAACGCGCCTGTATAATACAAAACACATTTCAATTTGTTGTTTATTTCCACCGCCGCGGTGCGGATTATATTTTCCGCAGTCTACCACCTCTACAGTACAACGTCATCGTAACGTCGATTGTTTTCAGCAACAATCATCTGTGCGTTTTACCTTATACGGTACATGAACGATTGAATAGATTCTGTGTAAACGATGACGATGTAAAGCCGAAATAATAATGATTTGACGATAAATATCTGAGAGAAGCGTCAGACTGTCCCATTGAATGAGTCCACGTCGAGACGATTCTATACGCGCAGAGAATAACTAAAACGTAGAGTCACGTGTAGTACAATATAATGTATTGCACGTGAAAATGACAATTCGATTTTTATCATTCGTCCAAAATAAATCAGAACTTGTTAATGTACCGTGAAATATATACCTAAATATTATACAAGGTGAATATTGTCATTCGTGTTCGTAAATATTACATAAGTGTTAATTAAATCGGATTAGAGCTTTAAAATTTTTTTTTTTTTGTTTCAAAATTGAAATCGAATATTTTTACAATTGTGTACTTCGAACGAGCTTGATAGACAAAAAAAAAAACATTAAGAATAGGTATAATTTTTCTTAGCCCATGTGAATGAAATGAAATGAAATGTGTATATAATATGTGGTAGTATGTGTATAAACAATATAAATCAACTGATTGCTACGTACACACTTGTTTACGTCTATTGTTTCACGGGAATTGTAAAACATCACTTTGCATTGTTAACACTTAATATATTATCGTCTCTTGAGTTATAAAGATGTTTTTGCTAACAGGACTGAGTGCAAATAGCAGTTGATTTATAGTGTTGTTGTGATCACTGAACATTGTAATCAATGTATCCGAACAATGTAATCGCACTATTTCGTTACCATGCTCATTTTTCATCAATTGAACACGGCCATTTAACATTTCCAGAATAATTAGTGTACGGATTCCGTCCGCCTACCTATACACATATAACTATGCCATCCTTTCACTGTGTGAAATAATAATGCGACCCATAAACATTATTACACTGTGAAATTGTTCTGCCGCCTCGGCACGTGTTATAATATTATTCACCTATTGTATGGTATTAAGTAAAATATAATATATAATACCATCACAACGTGACTTTATGTTATGTTTAAATCCGTTTTAAAACGATCATAATAATACTATGTCCTATACAGCGAGGATTTTATATGTTTCTGCTACAATATCATATGTAATCGAAAGAATATTGTTTTTTAAAAATCTAGGAAAAAACCATTATGAAAATGTGTTTAGGTTTTTATTTCAATTTTTCACTCTGAAACTGCTTACACAAATTTTCTTTTGTCCGTTTTCTCCCCTTTTTATTATTTTAGACGTTTTTTGCAGGGCTTTATTCATTTTACTGCATATAACAGATCGTATTTCATTTGATTTTTTAGTTAAAAATAATTAACTAACAGGCAGTTAAATATTTTTAATTCGTTTTCCCGTGCTGATTCGAACGAAATAATAAATTTAATAATAATGTTGCTTTTGGTGTAGCATTTTAAAGTAACATTTTCCCAGAAAAGCAAAACAATGTAATAAGTATTTTCGAACCATTGCAATCGTATCTTGACTGGTTTTTTCGACATTCGGACTTTTGGGTTTACAACGTGTATATGTAGGTATGAAATACAATAAAATCGTAGTACACGCAACACGTCTTTTGGAATCGGGAAAAGTACGGATTGTTGACGGAAGATATTGTATGTTAACGAGCGCATCTCGTTTAATGAGTTTCATATTGGAAATAATTAATACGTACACATAAACATACGCCGTCGCCTTCCAGAAACGAATTATTCAATTACGAATTTCTACCGACCATTGGATAATGGCGGCGGCGACGTGTTTGACATGCACGCGCGTGTGCTACTGCCGGGCTACAATTAACCACGATGCGGATGAAATCACGATATTTGTTAATTCGTCATACCGTGCAATTTTCGTGCGCGCAATATTCTTCGGACGAACAATTACCACGTCACTGACATTCAACTAGGAATTCCTCATCGAATCATTGAATCATTATCGCGTGCCTTGCGTGTAAATCTCTCGCACGTAGTACCATCGAGTGGTGCACAAAAAATAAAAATAAAAAAATATTTCAATAATAAAATAAAGAATATCAGTCAAATGCGTTTTTTGATCTGTATTTCAATTATAATATTTTTTTTTCTCTCTGTAGCTCATCTCAAAACCCAGCTGGAGGAGTACTTGGAAAACTATCCTAAAGTAAAGATCGTTCGCGCCAAAAAAAGAGAAGGGTTGATACGAGCCAGACTGATGGGTGCGCGGTACGCCTCCGCACCCGTTCTCACTTACCTCGATTCACATTGCGAATGCACCGAAGGTAAAAGAAAATAAAAAAATTTGCCAACACACGGACCAATCATATAATAATATTATGTTTTATTTTACTCGATTCGTTTTTTCCGTCGCGTGGTGAAGACATCCCACCGTGGGTTTGGTACGTATGCGGATTTTCGAAATGGCAATTTGCACGAGAATTTACTGGTCAATAAAAGTATACAATCTGCAAGGCTCACGTAAATGTCTCATTTTCGTGTTTCCATTCCCGCCATACCACACATTCGCACCACGGTCCCTCCCTTCTTCACACGGACAACAGATTCGGAACCAAATCATATATTTCAATTGATGAAAACCGACTAAAAATAATGCACCAGCAACTATAAACATTCGTCCAAATTGTTTCGAAATCCGTTCGTGCCCGTCACACATATTCGTACCACCGTCTACGTGGGTGACACGACTGTATTATATAAACGGCTTTCATTATGATTATAATAATAATATAATATAAATGGGCTTTTTTTGAAATTGCTTTCACAGTTGCCAATTGAAATCTTGTGTTATTCTGAGCGGCATATTTGGCTACAGCTTTGCTAGCGTTTCCGTACTATTGGACGAGGTTTGTCATCATGTTGACTTCCATTAACTTAACGGATTCTGTTTTCATATAGTGTATAATATATTTTCTCTTCCGTTTACCGTTAGCGACCTTTCCTTTTTTTCCTGTGGTAATTTTAATTTTAAGTTGATGAATTTTAAACAATGCTTTGTTACACCGTTAACAAAATATATACTGTTCAAGTTTCATAATAATTCAAATATTTCTTTGTTTTATACTTTTAATATTTTTTTATAAAAAAAAGCATATGTAATATATTAATACTTTTCTACCGTTCGTATTTTTACTTTTAATCGGCTAGAATCGTGTGTTAATTTTGCTAATAGTAAATATTTCAGCTGTACGTATATAGCCTTTCAATTTGATGGACCTGAATAAATACACCATGCTGGAGTAATTGAATAACGCTATTAAAATATTTTACAGAACCTTCATACTAAAAGGTTTTAATATTACATTATTATCACATCACATGAACATTTTCAAAGTGAACATAATTTGCGCTACGTAAAAATGTTTTTAGCTTGCCAAATATTTATTTCTTTTACATTTCGATGCCTTGTTTTTAATCATTAACTCGTCTGATGGTATACGGTCTTGCGATTTCGGTGCCTATAAGACTACAATATTGATATTTATGTGCAAATGCAGCATGATGACATGCAGGTTGTGACCATTTGGGTGGCTTTTTGTTTTTCTTAGGCTGGCTTGAGCCATTGTTGGACAGGATAGCAAGAGAAGCATCCACCGTTGTGTGTCCGGTTATCGATGTTATTGACGATTCGTCGCTGGAGTTCCATTACAGAGACGCTGGTGGCGTGAACGTAGGAGGATTCGACTGGAATTTACAGGTAATTACTTTAGAAAAAAACAAAAGATAACAGCCCTTAGTCACAAGAAAAATATAGATAAGAGTTGAGACAATTTTTTTTTAATTACTGCCACTTGACTATGATTGATCTTGTGGATTATTATACGTACCATATATAAGACAGAATAAAGCTTTTGGAGAACACATGCCCTGTATAAATATTCGCATAGCTATGCGGATATAGCATACTTGGAAAAAAAGATAATCTTTGTTCCTTTTAGCGCTCGCGTTAATTAAAATCAAATAGGACCCTTTTTTAAGCACCTAATTTGAAGTATGGGTTTTATTATGGAAAATCCCCTCGAGTCTTTTGAAACGTGAAGTCCATTATATAAAGGATGGGGATTTACACGTTTAAAAGTGACTAAGTACATAGTATAACTATAATCTGGGCATATACGTTACACTGCTGATTTGATTGAAAAGTTTCATATGTCTCAAAAAGCTGTACAATGACAACGACGTATTAAACAAACATTGGTAGAATGCTTTTATTTGATCATTGTTAAAAATCATACGATTTCTGCACAGTGTATCTCGTAGTAAATTATACAAATATAAGATTTATAATATATATGATTTATACAAATATTAACAAACTGTTTATGTTTACATAAGCGTTAAACGTTTCAATATTAATAACCTTTTAACATTAGACCTCGTATCATAAAAAGAAATCAATCATTCACTAAATTACCTATCCAATGGCAATAATACAAAGACATTACCAATAATTTTTATTTTGTTTAATAATTATTGGGCGAAAAATACATGTTCTTTTTAATTTCAACAAAAACCGTATAGTACATTTCAATACTATTTTGGTGAACAGTGATTTATAAAACATAAAAATATGTCCATAAACGATCACGTTTCCATTATTAGAAATTAATAATATTAGAAATTCTAATGGATATATAATACGTAAAAAACAAGCATCTGATAATATTTACAAAGAATGTTGTTTTGTGAGAAATTTGATTCCTAATAATAATATCTAAACAAATCGATTTCGAACAAGATGGAAAATAAATATTATTGACATATATGACATTAACTAAATATTAAATCCTATAGAACATTGTAATAAAAAATGTTTTGTTACGATTTTGATTTGATTAAACACCTATAGTTATAAGTACATGTTTACTATAATATTCTACAGTAAGAGTTCAGCAAAATCCAGTTTTTCTTTAAAAACGCGTAGGTATGTATTTATGTATTATTTATATTATTTATGTCATACATTAATGTAGAGGTCGACTTATTAATAAATAATCATAAACAGTTTGGTTGTAGTCTTATAGCTGAGTCGTAGAATATTTAATGGATTCGTATTAACAAAAATTTGTCATAGCCGTAACACCGGTTTGTCGAATCATTAATTTATCAAAATTCGATAAAATTACTCTCACACGAACGAAAATACAAATTTCTATGTAAAAAAAAAAATCTAAAAAACTACTAAACATTAGGTTGAATACATAATTTTTTCTCCAAAATCATGTAAACCGATCGAGGAAATTAATGCTATGCTATACAAGTCTGCATAGTTTATTATCGAGGTGTACTACATATTATCTTACTGATTTTTCTGCCGCTTACTAGGAACTCGCTTGGTAAATATTATAAAAAATTATCACACAAATGTTTTCACTTTCAAAAAATAAACGGAATGCTAATTGTTTGTGAATATTTTTTTTCTTTTGCAATCCCAGAATTTCGACTTGATGTCCATGTCAAACCGTAAATAATGCGTACCGAAACAAGCACCCTACTCGCCCATGGATGTGAGTAGATCAAATTTCCGCATTATTTGTCCGTGTTTGATTGCTCTTGGGAGGGACGGTGTCGAAAATGTTTGCCAAACAAATTTTCTGTAAGCGTTTTTGCCGTTTTCCCGTGACTGCGGGATACCTACCGTGGGATATACTGCGGGAAACGGGACTAAATAATTATCCGGGAACGGGTTTCTTGAAAAACGCCAAATCGCCCATCGTGCATCATCATGTTAAACATTGTCCTGGCAACCGTCGTCGTATGCATGGGCGTGTTCACTTATATATACGATAATATCACAGTCGAATTCCCTATTTTTTTTTTTTTTTTTATGTAGGTTTGCACATGACGAACACGTAATATACGTGCTCTACTGTGAGATTGCTTGAAAGAAATAATACTGACCCTCTATTTACAAATGAACATCTGTGATTTAAATGTTTTAAAAAAAATATTCTTATTTCGCTATGTATATACATATCATTTTGTATTATATTGTACTATCTGAATCACCCAAACTCACCCGAGAAATATGATAATATTTTTGATTAGAACAATTAATAACTATTTATTTTTTTTTTTTTTTTTTTAACAAAAATTTACAATGTACAAACAATTAAATTACAATAAGCAAATTTGATAACAGAGATTAAATTTACATGAATAACATGTTGAAGAAGTAACCCACTGGTAACACCTCTTTAATTTTATTTATCTCTAAACTATTTTCGCTTAAGTCTGCGAAATGAGTTTTTTAGGTTGAGTGAAGGTAGACATTTGTGATATCAGTAATAGTTTCTATGTGTGCTTAAATGGTGATGAAAGAGCTTATACATATATTGTTTTAGCTAGTTCGGTGATAGTTGTTATTTTTAAGTCATTATGTTGGGAAATATTTGAAACGTACCAGAGATCATGTGTTAGTAGCCTTAAAAAGATTGATTGAAATGCCTGAATTGGTCTTATGTTAAATAGTTTTGCAGGACCTCATATTACTATTCCATAGAATCAACCTCGCCTTATAATTGTTTTATAAATGAGTAGTTTATTTTAAAATAGTACCAAGAAGACAACGTACAGCGATCCGGTACTTATCATCTAACGGATGATTATCCGGTGCATAAACAAACATACTAATCAATTCAATGCTTTACAACGGATAACGATCCGTTATATAAAACGAATTTCTACCATTAGTGAGAGCCCTTACGGCCCTTAAAAATGTGTTTTTCAAAAAATCACTTTTTATTGCACATTTGGATTATTAGAGAAACCACTTTTCAAACCAATTTCAATTAATTTTATATATTTTGTCACTTTTAAGAAATACAACAATAAATAATATATTTGAATATTATGGTTGATACAGATTATAATACGGAAAATTGTACAAATTAATGTTTACTTAACATGTCGGTACAGCCAAAAACGTATTTCTTCTCTCGTGTTCTTTTGCGATTTCTTCTTGTAGCGTTTCCGTATACACATGCTACAGTTCAACAACTACACGAGACTTACGTCATTTACGTATATAGTGTAACGCGCACACGTACATCACATATGAGTTCAAAAACCGCTTATTTCTCACCCTTATTCCCTTTCTATATCTTCAATGGCTTTATATGATACCATATAGGGTGACTAAAATAATTACCTTAATACATACCTTTTAAATATATTGTTCCCCAGAGAGAAGAAGTTTAACGTTTCGTCCTCATCTGGTGAATCAGTAAAATACTGACGACGTCGTTATCGTGATTCAATAATCCCATGTTGCTCTGTGTATATTCGGTGTGAATAAATCGATCTCACGATTTTTTTTTTTTTTTTTATAAACGAAAACCACCTCCGAACGAGTCAGAAACTTCTGACAGCAATGGTAGAGTTAAAAATGCAAAAATTGAACCGGGTCGTTTTTCTTTTCAAAAGCCGTATATTGTTATGAACGCTTGCCCAGAAAGTAAAGCGCCTTGTGAACATATACTATATTGCATTTCTTCGTCAGAATAATCCATTATTATCCATTCAATTTTTAATAACGACCTACCGTTCTCTAAACGATACAACATATGAAAGAGTTCAATTGAAATCGAGGCTTGTCTCCGTTCTTACATGGTCGACGGTGTATAGCATAATACTCAAGACATGAGCACAAAGAATTTTTTTTTTTAAATACTACGTTTATAGATAATCGGAAATCGGTGCAGGTATTAAAAAAATAAAGCGGATGTAAAATAATATAATTGATAACTATGCTAAGTGCACTCGAAACACTTAGCATTCGGTTAAATTAATCTATACGTCATAGATTAATAGGTTTGTACTATAAAAATTAAAATCTAATTTTTCAAAAAGGAAAATTATTGTGCCTATCGAGACTGAGGGATTTGTTGCATTTGATTGACAAGAGAATCAATGAAAATTCAGAGTGTATGACATACCCCACCACTGTTCTACTTAACAATGAATAAAATAAAAATCATGGAACCCGTTGGGTAATGGAGTGCAGTAAAACTGCAAAAAAATATTTAGAAAATGTTACATAATTGGTGTCATCAGAAAAGTGAAAGCAAAACCTATTCTATTAAATTATACAAAAGATCTAAAACGTTATATATTGAATCTTTTTTCTTCTTCTGTAAAACCATATCATCTCTACGGCTGGATATGCTGCAGTAACATTTGTTACAGTTCGTTTTAATACAATTCATTTGTATCCTTAATCGTCCAAAAATAAACTCCGTAACTACCACTACTAACTATTCTCGTTCAACGACAATATACTGTAGAAAAGAGATACACAAAGTTTTAAATCATCAACAAATATCGGGTGTTTGGGCTTATTTTTTTATTATTATTATCCCAACGGCCGGTACATCGATTCTATGCTCAACATTTCGTTTCGAATCCATCGCCTCTTAGTTCTTCACACATTTCACCTATAATCAAATGCGTATTAAATTTAGTGAAACTAAAATAAATATATTAGCTCCAAATTAGTCCAAATTAATACGAAGATTGCGAAACGATAATCGTTGCTATGGTTGTATATAAACAAATATTTTTTTTTTCTAATCAAAATTTAACATAAATATTTAAGGAAATTTCTTTTAATGACTACGTCTCTAACTATTGTATATTTCTTAACTTATGATTTTGATCGGTGGGAGGAGAGGTGTTAAATTTTTTCAAAAAATATAA